GTGTGATGGCATGCACCTGTAGTTCCAGCTACTTGGAAGGCAGAGGTAGGAGGACCACTCGAGCCTGGGAAGTCGAGGCTGCTAGTGAGCTGTGATTGAGCCATTGCACTCCAGCCTGGATGATAGAGTGAGACCTTCTCTCAAAAGCAAAACAAACAAAAACACTGTAGATACATTACTACATTTTTTCATTGCTGAAGAAAGTAACATGCTTAGAGTATCCTCCCATAGGAAGGAGAACATAAGGAAACCTGTGCATGATTTTTTCCAGATTTCTACTAGTATCTTTTTCCTTTGCTGATTCTGTTGTATCCTTTCACTAATAAACCTTAGACACAATATGCCTTATGTGTTTCGCCCCTAATGAATCTCTAAATATGGGGGCAGTCTTGGGGACTCCCAATGCATGGTTGTCAAACTTTTTTTGAATAATGGGCCCCTTGATAATTTAATGAAATCTATAGATAAAGAAGCACATATACATTATTATGCATGGCATGGCATAGTACAGTCTGGGTTGGAAGACACCAGTGAGCAGAGAGTGCATTTTGGGGGGTTACTACAATGGTTCAGGGGTCTGGTAATGGCAGTGAGATTAACAGTGACATCTAAAAGATTTTTAAAAAATGAAATTGTAGTATAAATGGATTTGGATGAAACAAAGTGGGGATGATTAAGTTTTCAAGACTAGAAGAGTGAAATAATGATGGTACTACTGAACAGAAAAGAAAAAAAGCTTATGAAAGGTTTCATGAAAATCATGTGTTGAACTTCTGCTACTAGTGAGAAGTCTGTGACAGTTTTCAAACCATGGTTGCACAATCTGACTCTCCTCCCACTGAGAGTTGGGAATCTATGTTCATTCCCCCTTGAATCTGGACGGGCTTGTAACCCGCTTCCCCTTGAATCTGGATGGGCTTGTAACCAACACGTGGCACAAGTGATACGGTATGACTTATCTCATAGTTCTGAAAGCTGGGATTAAGCTCAAGAGTTTTGAGACCAGCTTGAGCCACATAGAGAGAACTTCCCCCTTAAACCGCCAAAAGGCAAAGCCTGTGATCCCAGCTGCTGGGAAGACTGAGGCAACAGGATCGCTTGAGCCCAGAAGGTTAAGGTTACAGTGAGCCATGATTGGCCCACTGCACTCCATCCAGCCCGGGTAACCCAGCAAGACCCTGTGTCCAAAAAAAAAAAGTCATCTAAGCAGAAGGACCCCTAGTCCAATGCATAAATAAGAATAAGAGACAACGTTACACAATGGTCAACTAAATGATCTCTCATCAGAAACTTGCAACACAATACTGAAAAATCTGTGGTTCTCACTACAGGACAACTCTGACACACCCCTCCCTATCATCCAGAGTCTTCTGGCAATTAGCTGGAGATACCTTCCATTCTGATCTGGGGGATGCTACTGACATCTAGCCGGTAAAGGACATTGCTAAACACTCTACAATGCCCAGAATAGCTTCCTACAACAAAAAATTATCCTGGCCAAAATTGTCAATGGTGTCAAGGTTGAGAACTCTGCTCTCACAAATTCCGCTGATCATCTTTGAAAGTACGCACTTGACAACTGTAAACCAAACCCAAATGTGAGAATGATCATAGAAAGTAGTTGAGAAGCCAAAATACTAAAAACATTGCTCAATATTAGTCATCTTTCCTCTACCCTTTTGGACTTCTGAACAGAACAGCTGGTAGCACTGAAGTGGGTAAATGAAAGAGGAAGTAATTTGCAAATCTGTGGTTTCAAATGAAAATGTTGCAATCTATATACATATGCAGGCCGTTGATGATTTGAATGAACTACTAAAATGGTTCTAATTTTCCTTTATAAGTTTGAGAAAATAAGATACCAAATATTATCAAAATTAAGAAACCCTAGCAATCTTAACAAGACTTGTTAGAGATGTGGAATCAAATACTACATCAGCAAATTCATACCACTGACTCAAATGAGGGCTATATTTGCTAGGGGCTCCATCTTCCCCATTCCTGGTTCCAGCATGCATCCACTAGAGTGGGGACAGTGGTCTGGATCTCAGTTCTAGCTCTGTCTCTCACTGATTAGGTAACCTAGGACAAGTCATAACCTTTCTATACTTCTATCTTTACATCTGTTAAACAAATTTTTCTTCCAGCTAACTTTCTATAATTCTAAGGAGGTCATATAAATGACTAAGGCTCATTTTTTGTTTGTTAAAAACAGGGTCTCATTTGCTCAGGCTGGTGTCTTGAAATCCTGGTCTCAAGCAATCCTCCTGCCTCAGCCTCCCCAAAGTGCTAGGATTACAGGCCTAAGCCACCAGGTCTGGCCAGGCTCATACACTTAATCCTGCTCTCTATTCTCACTCTAAATGATGCCTTCCTTTGAAGTATGTTTTATGTTCTCTTTTCCCCTTCAAGGTTCACCAGGATATTTTGGTTCCTCTCTCACTTAAAATAAAAAGTTTTAATAGGGAAGTATGCATCCTCTAAAAATGACTCAAAATAAATATTTCATATAAATGGCTTCATTCAACCAAAAAGATTGATGTTATTTGCTTTTTTTTTTGAGACTGAGTCTTGCTCTGTCGCCCAGGCTGGAGTGCAGTGGCGCATTCTCGACTCACTGCAACCTCCACCTCCCAGGTTCAAGTGATTCTCCTGCCTCAGCCTCCTGAGTAGCTGGGACTACAGGAGCATGCCATCATGCCTGGGTAAATTTTTCTGTTTTTTTCAATAGAAACAAGGTTTCACCATGTTGGCCAGGCTGATCTCGAACTCCTGACTTCAAGTGATCCATACTCCTAGGCCTCCCAAAATGTTGGGGTTACAGGCATGAGCCACTGCACCCAGCTGTTATATGTTATCTTTATTTATTTATTAGACAGAGTCTCACACTGTTGCCCAGGCCGGAGTGCAGTGGCGTGATCTTGGCTCACCACAACCTTTGCCTCCTAGGTTCAAGTGACTCTTCTGCCTCAGCCTCCCAAGTAGCTGGGATTACAGGCACCCACACCACAGCTGGCTAATTTTTGTATTTCTAGTAAAGACAGGGTTTCACCATGTTGGCCAGGCTGGTCTCGAACTCCTGACCTCAGGTGATCCACCTGCCTCAGCCTCCCAAAGTGTTGGGATTACAGGCACGAGCCACCGGGCCCAGCTTGTTACCTTTATTTCAAAATAATATGATTCCCTATAACGCAGAAATTAGTCCTTTTTGACTATCATATTATCACAAAACTTCTAAAGCGTATTTACCATGTCGGGGACGGTGGCTCACACCTGTAATCCCAACACTTTGGGAGGCTGAGGCAGGCAGATCATCTGAGGTTGGGAGTTTGAGATCACCCTGACCAAAATGGAGAAACCCCGTCTCTACTAAAAACATAAAAAAATTAGCCGGGCATGGTGGCGCATGCCTGTAATCCCAGTTACTCAGTAACTGGGTTGAGGCAGAATTGCCTGAACCCGGGAGGTAGAGGTTGTGCTGAGCTGAGATAGTGCCATTGCACCTCCAGCCTGAGCAACAAGAGCCAAACTCTGTCTCAAAAAAAAAAAAAAACAAGAGTAAGTACCAGAGGTATAATCAACTTTATAAAGTGATTTCAGCATTATGGATCAAATAGAGTAAAAATTCAGGAAGGAAACAATCATGATTTTTAAAAACATGTCAAGGTCATTTAAAATATTTAAGACATGGAGAAACTATTACTTTCTAGAACAGAGCATTTTATTACACACACACACTTTCAGGAGATAAGGCAAAGAACTAAGATATGAACGTAATTGACTGGTAATTCCAACCCTACACTATAAACACAATGACTGCAATTGAACCTCAGATAACCAAACTAAATACATGTTTCTAGCTTTAGTAAAAGACAAACATAAATAAGACTGAAAACACAAGCAGAAAGGATAAAACTTTTCAATGTTCAAAAAACATCAGAAGTGTTTTAAATTAACTGATCTTAAGCTTGTCCTAGGCCTACAAAGTCTGATTCTGCTGGCTTGGTAAGGGGTATGAAGATATTAATTTTTTAAATTTATTTTTTAGGTGGGGTCTTGATCTGTCACCCAAGTGGGAGTGCAAGTAATACAACCATGGCTCACTGAAGCTACAACCTCCCCAGCTCAGGTGATCTTCCCTCCTCATTTTTAAATTTTTTGTAGAGATGGGGGTCTCACTATGTTGCCCAGGCTGGTCTCAAACTTCTTGGCTCAAGTGATCCTCCCACCTCAGCTTCCCAAAGTGCTAGGGTTACAGGCATGAGCCTGGGCAACTGGCCTTAATTTTTTTTTTTAAAGATACTCCAATGACCCTGATGATCAGTGAGGTATGAAAGCTGCTATTTTAAAACACAAAGCTCATAAATATTTGGCATATATTAAGGCTAGTATGCCTTGTATAGAAAAGGCATTTAAATTAAACCTGAAAAACGCTGAAAAATACATCTTTATCGGTGCTAGAAGACACTGATAAAACTTATTCCATGAGGCCGAGAGGGATTCTCAACTGGAAGTCAGAATGTATCAGTAAAGGCTGGTTTTTAATGTCATCCCAAGAGACTGAGCAGAGATCAAACCAAAGAGGAGATGATGACCACCACGGGGCTGGGCGAAGGGCTAGCATGGTGCAAAGCTGGTTACCTTCACCAAGTGCAGTCGAGACAGAAGCACTGGGCTGTTGGACTGAGGACTCTTGTTGTAAGAGGGGCAGTACTTATCAGGGTCCCTCCATTCTGGCACCCGCTGCTGGCCCTGCCGATCCTGGTAAGCACAAGCTCTCGTGAGAACATCTATAGGTAAGTGACAGGATGTTCGTCCACACATTCTTCAACACCGCCCCTCGAAACCTTTTAATCACAAAACGTAAGGAAAAGGATTACGTATCTCAAATATGAGGTATTATTCCTTGAACGGCCTTCTCTTTCCGTTCCCAACCAACGCGCCCTGCCACTCCGTGACCACCGTCTAAAGTCTTCCCCAGAAGTCCCACAAGGACAAGGATGTGCCTGTTTGCTTCGCTCCCTGGGCCCACTACCCAGCTCCGTGCAGGGCACGGAGGCAAGTCCCGGGAGGAGCTCCGAAACAGCCTGCCTGAGCGCGGCAAGAGCCGCCGCGGACGGGGCTTCACGGTTCAGCCAAGCAGGGCAAGCGCAGCTAGCAGGGGTCGCCTCGTCCGGTGACTCGGTGCCCCCAACTCCCTGTCCTTCCATCTCATCCCCACTGGGGTCAGCGCCCCACGCCTGCCAGCACCCGCTCACCTCGAGGGCGGCCACTGGACAGCCCCTAAGCGGCCCGCAGAATCCCCGCCTCCCGCCCGCGCGTCCGCAGCGCCGCCGGGCCTAACCTGTGAACCTGCCGGCCGCCGACCCGGCTCCGGACTCTGCTCCCCGGAGCGGGGGCCGGTTCTCCGGGAGCAGGTGTCTCCCAACTGCCGGCCGTGACCCCTCGCCCCTCCCCGCGTCGCCTCCCCTCCGCTCCCGCCCTCAGACTCTGCCGCCCTGCGTCGCCTCACTTCAGCCCAGGCCGCCCTCTCAGCATCCCCTAGTGTCTGCTCGTGCCTCCGCGCCCTTCGGTCCGCCGGCGTCGCTTCACCTCCCCTCCGCTCCCCAACACCCCGGCCGCTGGTGTCGCTGCCTCTCCCCTTACCTCGCCTCAGCCTCTCCAGTCGCCTTCCTCCGCTCCCCTGCACCTCCCCTCGGCTCCCCTTAGGCCGCCCCTCACGTCACCCCGCCTCTGCCCGCACTCCTGACGCTAGGCCCCGCCCCCAGGGGCCCGTGGTTCCCGCCGCGCTCTTGGGTCCCGGATGCTGCGTCTTCTCCCCTCAGGTTTGGGATGAATCTTCTCACATTTTCCCGGGAGATGGTGACTGCCTTGGAGGACGCTTCGATCTCAAGCTTCTGGGGGCTCCACTTTCCTCCATATTGGCCGGTTCCCCGGCAGGGTTAACCTTCCTCCCCGCCCCCAGCGCGAGCCGCAGGGCCGGCGGGGAGGGTTCCCGCTGCGCGCTGACTCCAGGGCACAGGGTCATCGAAGGCGGGAAACCAGGAAACTCCACTCCTAATTTCAGTCTTGCCAGCTGCCTCACAGTGCGAGGCAAAAATGCAGGAAAACTGGAGAAGAAATGGAAGTCAGGAGAACTTCCAGGAATCGCGCACATCGCCTTCAAAACGATGGTGGGTGTGCTATAGCTGGCCTAGAGTTAGAGCCTAAACACTATTTTAGAAGACAAAGCTGTTTTTAAAAAAATAAGTTGTAACGGCTGCCCCATTCTCACAATAACTACTGGCCTTGGCTCCTGTAAATAAAACTGCTAGTTTGCTCTGCAAAGTGCTCACTATGTACAGCTGCTTACCTTTTCTTATCAGTAACTGCCAGAATTGCTGGCCTTTGCTTACCGGTAATGACCAGAATAAGCAGCCCAAGCTAATTCCATCCTGGCCCCTGCGACTTGTAGTAAGTAACTAAAATCTGTGGATTCCACTACTGCCCAATGTGTAAACTAACACTTATCTTGACTTCTGTAAACCACTTAGGTAACAATCGAAGTGACAAGTCCCCTAGCCCTTGGAATGTCCAGAGACCCGCTCCCTCCCGGGGAGGTGATTTACGGAATCCCCTGGCCCTCAGAATGTCTGAATCCCTTCATCCCCACCCCCGGAGGTGGTTTACGGCTATAAAAGAGTCTTGTCACCCTCTTTTCGGGGCCACGGGTCGGAGAGAGATGCGAGTCCTCCGTGGTCGCCGGCAATAAAGACCCTGCAATTTGGCATACTTTTGTCTTAGTGTTAATTTTATAATCTCGCATTTCAATACTTCAGTGGGCACCACAATGGGCCTTTCCTGCCCCTGTACTTTGCACCCCCCCAGCTCAATCTCTAAGGGTGAAGCCCAGATTTTTAAGAGTCTTTATGGGTCTACTTTGGCCTCAAAGTTGGTAAAATAACATGGCTTGAGTTTATAAGCCTGCTCCCCTTGGGACGGAAACCCAAGATTTCTTTTTGGCAACTCACAGGGAATGCTCTAGAGGGCTGTTCTTCGCCTATGCTGATTTGCTGAACTGAACAGGGAGCAGAAACCCCAGGGCACACTCCACGTGGGACCCGAGCCCTTTGGAACCTCTATCGACTATCAAAGGAGGGGGTGCGTTTCGAAGAAGTGTGCGAATGGGAGGGAGTGTGAACTCAGTGCCTGTTAGCTGATTCACTCAACCAACTTGCATCGCTCCCACCCCAGAGCTTGCTGCATGGACAGCGATGACGGGAAGAGGGTCTGGCCTCACAGGACTACAACAGCCAAAGGGCTGTGGGCACAAGGGGGACAGGGCAGGTGTTCTGTGGGAGGCCTTGAAGGGGAAGGTGGAGCCTTGAAGCATGAATCTGCAGAAGTAGCAATCATTCAATAAATACATGCTGATTTATTACAGGAATAAGATAGTTTCTTGGGGAATAAATTCAAGAGGAGTTGAAAATGTTTTATTCATTTACAATTCAATAAATACATGCTGATTTATTACAGGAATAAGATAGTTTCTTGGGGAATAAATTCAAGAGGAGTTGAAAATGTTTTATTCATTTACAATGTCCCTTTTCTGGAAGGGAGGAGAGCAAGATTTAGGACAAGCTAAAATCATCCCCTATTAAACAAACAAACAAAATCACTCCGAAATAGTCCCAGGTAGGGGGACAGAATAAAAAAAATATATCTGCAATGATTCCTAATTGTTTTTGAATACAGAACCTTGGGAAGGGGTTTCTGATAGTTTCATGAGGAAGGCACAACTATCCAGGGAGTGCTGGGGAAGGGTATAAGGTCTTATGCAAGCTGGTCCCTTAGCCCACAGATGCCAAGATGATGTCTACTGGCAGCTCCTCCAAACTTCTGGCTGTCACCTGCATTGTAACTGTGTCCAAAAGCAGCAGCCGGGCACGCACCAGGATGTCATGACCACCCCGGAACACACCTAGAAGGGAAGAGAGAGTACAGGTTTATAAGGCAGAAGGGACTGTACAGGTCAGGCTGAGGATGGCATCTGTGGCAACCCATCTAGGCAGCTCTGGTGTAGTGAAATGGGCAGGAGAGCTGAGCTGAAATCCCTGAGTGAGGGATTTCACTGTGCAAGTCACTGTCTCTCTGGGCTTCAGCATCCTCAACTACAAGTGAAGGGGATGATAATATACCATATTTCAGGCTTCTCCCAAGTTCAAAAGAATTGATGGACATATAAGGCTTGAATCTGATGTCACAGAGGCTCTTGCACCTTGGCTAAATCTTAAGAGCACAAATGAAGGGAACAACAGCCCCACCATGAGAAAACCGCAGGACAGGTGTCTGTAAGACCCAGGGGACTGGGTTGCTTCATTGTGGCCACAAACAGTCAGCTGTAAGCAAGGCACTGAAGCAGAGAGCCTCCTTTTTTTTTTTTTTCTTGAGAGAGTCTCACTCTGTTGGCCAGGCTGGAATGCAGTGGCTCCATCTTAGCTCACCACAACCTTCGCCTACCGGGTTCAAGTGATTCTCCTGCCTCAGCCTCCCGAGTAGCTGGGATTACAGGCGCTCGCCACCACGCCTGGCTGATTTTTGTATTTTTAGTAGAGACGAGGTTTTACCATGTTAGCTAGGCTGGTCTTGAACTCCTGACCTCAGATGATCCACCTGCCTCAGCCTCCCAAAGTGCTGGGATTACAGGAGTGAGCTGCCACACCCAGCCCAGAGCCCCTTTCAACCCTGTTTGTAAACAGCCAAAAAACCCCCATCCCATTTCCTTTAGTTAACTGTTTTAGGTATGATAATTGTATTGCCCTTTAAAAAAGGGAAGGGGTCATTATCTCAGAGAAATATACAGATACAGAAGGATTTACATACAAAATGCTATTTCTGGAATTTGCTAGTAAATAATCTGGGAAGGATAATAAGTGTGGATACACTCAACCAACCCCGTAGAAAATCAAAGGATATGAAAACGATCAGAAAAGGAAATACAAATGCCTCAACATTTGAGAAGACATTTAATGGAAAATAGAAAAACTACACTATCATTTTCCATACAGACAGGCAAAGGTCATCAAGTGTGATAACATTGTGTTGTCCACAGTGTGGAAAGAAAAGTATACAACTCCTGTGGAAGGCAACTTGGAATTATTTATCAAGATGAGCACAAATCACTTCGACCTAGTGATGCCTTGCGAAATTTATCCTACAGATATTCTCAGTGCACATATGCAAAGTAAAGTGAGAGTGTGTATGTGTACACAATTATTTAACATCTGTAACAGCAAGAGACTGAAAACAAACTAAATGTTCATCAGTAGCTGCTGTTTCATAGAATATGTGGTGCATCCACACAATGGAATACTAAGCAGCTATTAATAAAAAAAAAGTGAGTTCTAAAGGCCGGGCGCAGTGGCTCATACCTGTAATCCCAGCACTTTGGAAGGCCAAGGTGGCCGGATCACAAGGTCAGGAGTTTGAGACCAGCCTGACCAACATGGTGAAACCCTTTCTCTACTAAAAATACAAAAAAAAAAAAAGTTCTGGAGATGGACGGTGGTCATAGTTTTACAACAGTGTGAATGTACCTAATGCCGCTGAACCATACACTTAAAAATGGTTAAAATGGTGAATTTTATGTGTATTTTGCCACAATTTAAAGAAAAAGAATGAGGAAGCTCTACATATTGACAGGGAAGAACTCTAAAATGCATTGTAAAGTGAAAAGCAAATTGCAGGACAATATATATACCATTTGTACATAAACATTTGAGTTAAAGGAAATGTGTTTGTTAGCTTTTATAGCCATAAAATAACTGCAAGGTTATACAGGCACTGTTTGTAATAGGAACACTGGTCGTTTCTTGGAAAGGAATCTAAATGGGTGGCAGCTAAGGTAGGAAGGAAACATTTCACTGCAGATTATTTAATACTTTGCCAATTTTAAATGCTGTGAATTTTGACTCCCCATATTTACAATGGAGTCCTTAGCCCAGGATCCAGTGACGTCCAAACTGTAAGCTACCCAGGTCCTCCCCACCTGGAAATGCCACTTACCAGCCAGGAGCAACGTGTGGGTGTTCTTATTATCCGGCACTTTGTCTGACCTCTCACAAGGGTGCATTCCCAAGAACTTCACAATATTACCCACAGCCTCTGTAGAGAGAAATCCCAATATTGTTAAGCCATATATTTTGTCTGCCCTTTGTGCCACTACCACCACTCCCCCATGTTCTGAAGGGCTTTGAATGAAGTGGCATTTGACATATGTGCTCCAGACATGGCCCTGGATCCTTGGAGAGAAGAGGAATGAGCACTTCAACAGTAGCCAAAGATCTTCAACGGCAAGTAGGCCAGAGATGGCATTCCCAGGATTTTACCTTCAAGTGTCTTGATGGTAGATAAGGTGAACGTTTCCTCCTTCTCAAATTCATCCCCTACCTCATCCCAGGCTGCTTCGAAGTTCAGTTTCATGACCTTTTGAATGTGATCAGCTACAGTAACTTCCAGATCTTCCAGCTGGAGAGATGGAGGTAGAAATAAGGCACCCATCCACACACCTCTGGGCCTCTGCTCTGAACTCATCAACACATCCCTTCCTGCAATTCTTACTGCAGGTGCTTGCTCAGCACTGAAGACTGCTAGACTCTGGGGACACAGAGCAACTTGACTAGATACCTATCCTTGAGGTGCCCACAGGCAAGTGGTATGCCTTCAACAGAAAATGCCCTAATCCCAAGTACCAATCTACTAACCCATCCTAGAGCTGCCTGCTGTGAGATCGCATCTCTTCTAAGCTGCCTAGTGTCAGTGCTTCCAGGATCTGGCATCCAGGGAACTACATAGCATTCTCAGAGGTCTGTTTACTATGCCTGTCACTCCTAGGGGCCAGTGAGCTCCCAAGGAGCAGCAGCTATTTCTAGTTCAGCAGAAACTAGCAAAAACCTCCTACCCCAGCTGTGTCCTCTAGATTTGACAGATCCCAAATTTCTATCTCCATTTCAGCTGTGTCCTCCCTGAATTTGACACACAATACTCCCACTGAGCCTACATGAAGGTTCCCATTCATTCTCCCATCAGATTTTCAGAGGCCCTACTCTTGTGGATATTTACAGTGTATACAAATATGACTTAGATCCAGCTCGCTCTCTCTCTCTTTTTTTTTTTTTTTGGCTTTTATCTCTGGGTGGGTTCTAACAGACCCTGCTCTCTTAAGGAGCTCACTTGGTCTTAGAGCAGTTCCTGCCTTGGGGTCATTTCTGGCGCAAAGAAGGTCCATCCATCCTCAACTGTGACTCTAGGGTGACACAATGGTGAATGTCAGTTGGATTCCACAGTAACTGTCCCTCTAGTCAGGAGGAGCTCTAACAATCCCCAGCCACAGGCTGAGCACAATGGTCTACACTGAGATGGCCCTGAGCCACTGCCCCAAGGTCAGACCCCAGAAGGATCCTGTACTTAGTTCCATTGAGCTAAGACAGGAGAATTTAGAAGGGTTATTCCAGTGCATGAACAGACTGCCCAGCACAGAAAACAGGTCCAATTTATACAGAAAGCGTTTGACAAAAGGAATCAAAATGTCTTAAATTTTGACCTTAGCCCTTTGACCAAATTATTCTCCTAGGAATCTATCCTAAGGAAATAAGCTGAAATGCAGATAAAAATTTGTACCTAAAGGGATATTTAATGCAGCATTATAAATAGTAAAAACATGGAAACCCAAATGCCCAACATTAAAGGAGTGAAACAAAAGTCCATTGAATTTTGATATAGCATATAACAGT